AATCTAACTTTTTTTTTTTTTTTTGGTGCTGGGAATTGAACCCAGGGCTTTGTGCATGCTAGGCAACACTCTACCACTGCCCCAGCCCCAATTTTTCTTTTTAAGTAAGGTGTGATTTTAACCAGAAGTAACTCAAACTTAGGCAGTGATTAAACCTAAATCAACCAAATTTGATTTCATAATAATTTTAAAAAGAAAAACAAATTACAGCCCTGAGCACAAAAATAGGAACAGGAAGGGATGTCTTGAATTAAAACACAATGGAGAACTTAAAGCTCCTTCTCAAATACAATTCCAGAGGTGCAAACCTTCCCACCTTACAGAGTGAGAAACTGGCAGGAGGAAGGTTATAATCAGCTCTTGCCCAGGTCCCCAAATGTGACATTTCCTTTTCCAAATCTGAACTTTTGCAAATGCTACTCCCTCTATATTGGAATGCCCCTCTATTTTTCACTAGGCAAATTATCAACCCTTCTCCAAAACCCAGCTCAAATCTCCCCCTTTAATAGCTCTGATAACCCATCAGAAAGTTAACTGCTTATTATTCAGTAACGCAGTTTATTCTTATTTTGTAACTTTTCTCTATGTTAGGTATCTGTTTTCCTTCTACTAATAATTTTCAAGGAGTTGAGAAAAAGAATAGAAAATAGCTATATATAGGCATATGTGTGCATGTTTATGTAAAAAAAAAGCATATCAGATATGCTAATGCCTTGACTTTTTTTGAGACTCCTTCATGTACTTTAAAATTTCATATACAACATTAAAGAAGGGCATGATATTTATTTATTTACTTATTTGTTTGTTTATTTATGGTATCAGGGATTGAATTTAGGGGCACTCGACTACTGAGTCACATCCCCAGCCCTATTTTGAATTTTATTTAGAAATAGGGTCTCACTGAGTTGCTTAGCGCCTCACTAAATTGCTGAGGCTGGCTTTGAATTGATGATCCTCCTGTCTCAGTCTCCTTAGCCGCTGGGATTACAGATGTGAACACTGCACCCAGCAAGATTTATTTTTTAAATCTAAATGGTGAAAGAGTTTTAAAAGCTTGAGAAACACTGAGTTAGACCCTTAGGTGCAAGGACTACATTTTGTTCATTTCTGTATTCCCAGTATCCAGCACAGGGTCAGGCACAAAGTTAAGTATGAGTTTGCTAAATGAATTAATATGCCCAAAGTCCACTGCTCTGGAATTAGAACATGCCAAAACAGAGCACGGCCCAGGCACCAAACAAAGGTTGGTTCTTTCTTTCTTTCTTTTCTTCCTTCCTTCCTTTCTATTCTTCTCCCAGTCCACCCCATTCTGTCCTCCCCAGTTGAGAGAAAGAGAAATTGCCTTGGTGCCAGAATACTATTAAAAGGATTAATTTAGGGACCGGTGTTTGGACTGTCACATCCAATCACTACCCACAGATCTACAGCTTCCCAAATCAGGCTCATGCAAAGAGGAATCAATTGCAAGGACACAGAGGGTCTGAACAGGCATACTAATGGCCTCCCGAGGTGCCAGCGGCCAGCTTTGACACTCCCATAAATTATCTGCCTTTTGATTTTACCTGTAGCTGTGGGGCACAAGGCACAATTTTGAACATATCAAAGCAATCTCTTGTAACCCAAGGCTCCCCAAGGAATGTCCCCAAAGGAGAAAAGGCTAAAAACAACAACCCAAAGGGAATCTGCTTCCCAACAGGTCTGGTCCTAGCAGTCATCAAACATTAAAACCCAAACGAACCAAAGAGATACAGTAGGACTCAAATGAAGCCTCAAAGATATGGACAAGGCATGTATCAGACTGCAGTTCTGCAATGACTACACATCTCCCACTCAAGGAAAGAGAAATCACAGTAATAAACAAACGCAATTTCATCTGGAGGCAAATGTACGCTAGCTTTGACAGTAACTCACAGTATGACTTTGGGCAACTCACTTAACCTTGTTGGGCCTCAGTTTCCTCACATGGTAGGCAAGGAAATGAATACTATCTGAACAACTTCCTGCAGTGGTGGTAAAAGCAATCTAAAAAATTCAAGAGGCACTTTACAAAGATGTAGGGCCACAAGGGTGACAATACCAATAAATGGCCCCAGACAAACAAGGAGGTATGATTAGTCACAGGTGAAATTTACTAGGAAACTGCTCATTCAACTCACTTTACTGATGGTGTTGAGACTAAGGTCCATACCCCCAAAAGTTCTGGGATTCTGAATGGAACTCCTGCTGTGTGCAAATTTTCCATTAGGCAGGACAGTGCCTTGCTTTTGTTGTAACTTCCTCCTATGTGCTGGCTCTCATCACCAGGGCTGTTTCTATCATATGGACACAATGACAACTGTGCTGATTCAAAAGTACTTGTCAACTATTTCCTGCTTTAAAAAAAAAAAATCATTGTGTAAAATACTATTAGTAATAAAAATGTATCTAGGCACTGTGCTAACAGCTTTATATACATTACCAAAGTCTTTAACCAACCTATTAAGTCCTCTATCTCCATTTTACAGATAGGAAAGTGAAGCTCAGAGAGCTAAGTCATTTGTGCAAGGTCACATAAACACTACTATCAGAAGGCTATAGGCTGAGCCAAATGCAGTGACACATGCCTATAATCCTAGCAACTCCAGAGGCTAAGGCAGGAGGATTGCAAGTTCAAAGTCAGCCTCAGCAACTTAGGTCCAGTCTCAAAACACAAAACTTAAAAAAGAAAAAGGTGGGGGTGGGGCTGGGGATGTGGCTCAGTGGTTAAACACCTATGGGTTCAATCCCAGTAACACCCCCCCCTCAAAAAAAAAAAAAAAAAAGAAAAAGAAAAGAAACCTACAGGTTTGGGGTGGAACTACAAGCTTCCCTCTAGCAATGTGGAAGACAAAAGTCAAGAGCAAACACAGGGCTCTGTGCTATAATCTCATTAGACACTCAACAAATACTTTATTTGGTTCCTGTGCCTGACACATCATCATATCCGAACCAGGAAACAATTTCTAAAATTGGGAAAAGGTCATCAGTCTGCTGCAAGCAAGGAAAGGAGCGACTGAGTAGGACAGAAAGAGGACAATTCCCTAGAAAGCTTAAGAAAATGGGTCAGTTTCTGTGTGTATTGTTCAAGTAAGTTCAAAGCAACTGACATTAAGCCATGAACCCTAAAACCAATATCCCTTCCAGGGCTTTATTTATTCCATACTTCCTTCAATAGAAAATAGTTCCCAGAGCTGGGGGTTGTGGCTCAGTGGTAGAACACTTGCCTAGCATGTGCAAGGAGCTGGGTTCAATCCTCAGCACCACAAAGAAATAAATAAATAAAATAAAGGTATTGTGTTCAGCTACAATTTAAAAAAAAAAATTTAGAAAAAGAAAATAGTTCCCAAAATCTGTGAATTCATTCTATATCAACTTTCCCTTCTTCTATACTCTAATCTGTGAAATAGGAGCTGATATTATCAACACATTCCTTGACAGACATACTTTAAGCTACAGTGGATAACCAAGAAGTTAGTGACGAGAACCAATATAACCATGAAAACAAAGATGCAGCTATACTTCATTGTAAGGACCAAAATACTTCCACAAAAGGGAAAATATAAAATGTTATCCATGTAACTGCCACAGCTTCCTTATTGGTCCGTTTCAAGTATTATCTGTCCCCTTCAATCCATTCTTCACACTGACATCAAAGCAAACTTTCTATAACACAAAACTAACTTCACTCTATTACCTAAATCCTTCTAATGGCTTCCTACTATTCTTAAGGGACAGCAAACTAGAGTCCATATATTAAATACAGATGCCACCTGTTTTTATAAATAAAGTTTTATTGAAATACAGCCATGTTCATTCATTTTCAAACTGTCTATGGCTGCTTTCACACATAACTGCCAAGTTGTGTAAAGCAGCCACCACAAAGGATCAATATTTACTATCTTGTCCTTTACAGAAAAGATTTACCAGTTTCTAATCTTTTTCTACCCACCCACATAACTCCAGGTCTAATTCTAAGAGTTTATAAGGCTCTGCCATCAACTTATCTCTCCTGCCCCTGCGTACTAAGCACTGTTTAAATCACATTGGACTTTCTCAAACTCAACAAAGCTCTGACACTTGGCTCCTTGTGTTTTCATCTAAATCTAGGTGAAGTGGTTACTTCCTCTGAGAAGCTGTTCCTGCATACATAAGTCTGGGTTAGGGACACTTCTGCACTCCCAAAGAACTTGCACTTCCTCTACTAGAGCACTCTCAAGTATAACTAACTGCCTCTTTACTATCTTTCTCTCCCATAAATTTTTGAGTTCTTTAGTGTCAGGGACAGTGGCTGTCTTGTTCACCATTACAATTCCAGGAACTAGCAAATTGCTTGGCCCTTAGTTATTAGACAAACTGCCTCCAAGACCCTAGATAATAATCATCAGAGTCCTGCCTTTTTAGCAAGCCCCTGATCCTAGCAAAATGGAGCCAGGTTGGGACTAGCTATTCACTTAAAGCTATTCACACAACTCAAATTAAACCAATATCACAAAGGCTTTGGTCAAATACATTAAGAGTCAAAAGTTGGGCTGGAGTTGTGGCTCAGTGGTGGAGCACTTGCCTAGCATGTGTGAGGCACTGGGTTCGATTCTCAGCACCACATATAAATAAATGAATAAAATAACCAACATCTAAAAAAATACTAAAATAAAAGAATCAAATGTATGTGTTTCATCCTCTTGTATTAAGACATGTATTTCTCAGGATAAAGGACTATTCTAGCTCTATTCAACCATCCTGAAAGTAAAGGGTGTTCATGAGATGCCCATTAAAAAAAATCATGAGAGAGCTCAAGAGTCTGAATCCCCAATTCCAATTCTCAATTTAAAGTCTTAGGGAAGTTTCCATAGGTTTTGAGCATATGCTGCCTAATAAAAGAAGCTACAGAAAATCAATCTGCACCAGTCCCACCCCCACCCCCACCAAGCCCAAATACTGATAAAGAAGTCAAGTCAAACTTGACCATGCAACAGGATTCTCACCTCTCCTTACTTCGAAGATGCCAAGACTGGCAGCTGGGGATGCTGAAGGTTCTGTGAGAGCTGGAAAGCCCCAATGCTGTGGACAAACACATATCTCTGCAACAAGTCTATTTCAACACAAAGGATCAAATCCCCACTAAGGATCATACTACACCTCAAATTCCTAAACTCAAAACTTTGGGATAACAGTTATCTATGTAGAAAAACAGTTTCCTACAGAACTTCCAGAAGCTATTAGTACCATATTTGTTTTTGGAATGATGGATTTCATGTTCTCTAGTAATATCCTTTGCTTGGTAAGGAGACTTACTTCCTAGAAACATCAAATATTTACAATGTCTGAGCCTGGGTTGAGAAAGATGGCCATGAAGTGGTGGCTCACTAGATAATTTCAGAATCCTGTCTAGACAAGGAGATACTAGTAAGGCTGACAATATTCCAAACTCAGGAACTAAAGCTAGGTCAGGACTGAGGCAGGGGTTAGTTGCCACAAACCCACAGGCCATATTGCAAATGGCCACAAATACCAAGAAACACTTTCAGGGTATTTCCAATTCTGCTTCAAGTTCTAAGAAAGTCAAAGTAACCAAACCCCAACTCAAACCATCAATGGACACCTATCCTATTTATCACCTAATTCAGATTTTCCAAAGAACCAGAAGTTGCATGATGATCCTATAAGCTAGTGATGCCCTTTACACAAAGAAGCACAAGTGGAACCAATACATTCCTGTCTACCATTATACACATTTAAGACTTCATTCTACTCAGGTCCTCCGGGAAAAGGCCACTCACTAACTTACCCCACCACAGAGAAAACACTTTTCAAAATGAAAGGGAATATAAGCACTTTTATTTAGAAATTTCAAGTTGGAGGAGGCACTCTTAAGCAAGCTCTATGACCTAGCTAGCTGATTATTTACAGGATCTTTGGGCAGGAATTGTTAATGAGCTTTTAATTTGGAGTGCTTAAGTTGCCAAAGTGCTCTGAGCTCCAGTGAAGCAACACAGAATCCATAAAGGAAACCTTATCAATCACTTACTGGCAGCTCCCTTCCCCCATTCTGCACCTCTTGCTGAAAGGCAGCCAAGTAGGTTTCTAACTAAGATCACAGACACACATTAGTGGAGTCACACTCCAAGTCCCTGTTTATAAATTGGCTTTTAAATGGTAGGGGATTCAGGTATAATATACTTAGGCTCCAAGAACGAACCCACTAAAACAAGGTATACTGTATATGATAAAGTCAGAATAAAGCAGAATTTGATGAAGTCAATTTCTGGTAGCAACTCTACAAATGAAAACCAGGTCAGGCCCACACCTGTAATCCCAGCTACTTGGGAAGATGAGGCAGGGGAATGGCAAGCTCAAGGTCAGATTAGGCAAATTTACCAAGACCCTATCTCAAAATAAAATTTAAAAAGGGCTGGGGATGTACCTCAGTGATAGAGCACTTGCTTACCAAGTGGGAAGCCCTAGTTTCAATCCCCAGTACTACAAGTCAAAAAAAAAAACAAAAACAAAAACAAAACACATCCAATCACTACCTACTATAATTAAAACAGAGAATAGTCTTTAGTCAATGAAATTCATGTTTTGTTGCCCTAATGCTGGGAAATTGATGAAATGTTGACAAGAGCAAATGCCATACAAGTGGCCAGAGACCTCTAGCAGAAAAACACAGTGGCCACTATTCGTTGCCAAATTCAGCCTTAAGAACAAACTCCACATACCTAGTGAGGGACCCCCACATCCAGCATCTTTCAAGTCAACAAGAAGCAACAACAAAAAAGTAAATAAATTTTAAAAGGAAGTTACATTTTTGCAAGAACTCAGTCATTGCCTCAATCCAAATTAATGTTTTTTGTTTTTTTGTCTTAAGAAAACACCTGTTGCTGCCCACTTGCAGGAAAGGCAAACAGAAAGGTAGCCAAGTTAGGCCTTGATTCACTCCTTCCATCGCTTCAAATTTACAGAGGTAAACTGCTAATTTTGTGTGCATGTGTCGGGAGGGGGAGAGGGAAAATTCTCTCTCTACTAACTCCTTGCTGTTTCTAGCCTCTCTGGTCAAACCTCTCTAGTAATTCCAAGTAAGGAGTCAGCCCCCTTAATCAACTCACCCAATCTGTCTGGCAAAACCCAGCCCCGCTCCCCCTACACCAGAACGCTACTCAGTAGATCATGCATCGGGGGTGAGCACACCGGCCAGCACCCCAAACTGCAGAAACTATACAAGCCACGACCCGCCACCAGCATGCATTAACCAGGGCCTAGGCTGGGGGAGGGGGCTCTCAGCATCACCCACCCCAGGGTGTTGCCCCCAACTCGGACCCATCCAAGTCCAGGGGAGCGTAAGGGGAGGGGCAGGGGGCCAGGAGACCAGCCCTCCTTCCCAGGGCCGCCCCCGCCCCCCGTCAGCTGCGGGAGAGGCTGTCGCCATGGCAACGCCCCCTCCTCGGGGCCAGCGCGGCAGGCTTGCTCCAGGTGCAGGCCCCGACGTCTCCCTCGGCCTCAGCAGGCGCTCAGGGTAGTTGACGGCGGCGGGCGCGGCCCGCGCCGACTGCGGCGCCGGCCAGGCAGAGGCAGGGCCAGCTCCGCCTGCTCCCCACCGCCCGTTCCCGGCCGCCTCAACAGCGGCAGCCAGCACCACGAGTCCACAACACACCGACTCACCTCCGCGCACTCTGACCCCGACCGACGCGACGGATGGGCGGGCGCAGTGAGTGGCCAACCGCTGAGCCCGCCGTCGGCCCCTTTGACCAATGGGCTGCAGTGGGGCAGGGCTTCTTCTCCCCAAATGCTCGCTCTCCCGCCGACATGCGCGCTAAAGTGTGTCAAGATGGTGACTGCCGGTGGCGGCCTTATGGGACTTGTAGTTTTGAAACTGCACGTACTCAGAAGAGAAGGGGAGGGTCACTTCTGAGCAGTGAAAGGGATTTTTTTAAAAACTGAACACTTCTCAGCCCTAGAGCGACTCAGGTACCACACCTCTTTTTTCCCCACTTTTCAATATATCCATAAGGTGAGTATAGGCTCATAAAGTGACATTCTGTTTAGGTGACACTTTCTCCTGATTCATTCATTCAACAAGTAATTATTATCATCTACTTTAGAATGTGGGCCTAGGGGAGATCTGGGAGGAGGGTAGACAGATTAGGAAGAAAATGCTTAGATTTCTAAAGGGCATGGGAACTGACTTGTTCATGTCCCTTCAGAGGGAAGCTTCTGGGTTGAAAAGGCATCTGGCTGCAGCTGTGGGAAGCTTCTACAATCTCTCCAATCACCTGGAGAGAACTCTTACCAAAGCCAGTTGCCTGGGAAGTTATGGGTTCCAGCTTATGAGTTGGGAAACCTCAGTCTTAAATAAGCGAATGATGATGTTGACAGCTTCCCAATCAGTCAGGGATCCAGCTATGAGCCAGCACCAACACCACCACATTCAACCAGCTTTAGTTACCAAGCTCCTCTGTCTCCATGTGTACATTTTCACTTAAAACGATGATGTCATTTCTGGACCACCTCTAAGATCTTAACATAAGGTTGTCACCTATGCTGGAAATGTCTGGTAATCCCCATATCAGGGAATGTCTTCCTTAATTTCATCCACATAATGGGTTCGATGATTCCACTGTGTATTTCAGTATTAGTTTTTTTTTTCCTTTTTCCATATTTTCCATTGGTGCATTATAATTGTACTTAATGATGGGATTCATTGTTACATATGCACACAATATAACAATATCATTTGAGCTGGAGTTGTGGCTCAGGAGTAGAACACTCACCTGGCAAGTGTGAGCCCCTGGGTTCCAACCTCAGCACCACATAAAAATAAATAAATAAAATAAAAGTACTGTATCCAACTATAACTTAAAAATAAATATTAAAAAAAGTTAAAAAAAATATCATTTGGCCAATATCATCCCACAATATTTCTTCTTTGCCTCCTCTCTTTCCCCCACCTGGTCTCTTTCCTCTAATACTGATCTCCCTTCAATTTTCATGAAATCTCCTCCTACCTTTCTTTTCCTTTTTCCTCTTTAGCTCTCACATATGAAAGAAAACATAGGACCCTTGACTTTCTAAGTTTGGCCTATTTTGCTTATCCTAACATTCTCAATTCGATCCATTTTCCTGCAAATGACATAATTTCATTCTTCTTTATGGCTGAATAAAACTCCATTGGGTCAGTGTTATATAATTGTCTATTTCCTTGCATCTCTCCTCCAGGACTTTAAGCTCTTTTAGGATAGATGTAATTTCAGTGTTGTTCATTTGCATTAATTATACCCAATACGGTGCCAGGCACAAAGCAGGCATGCAATAAATGTTTGTGAATGAATGAGGGAATAAACAGCAATAGGGACAGGAGATGGAATGTAAATATAAAAATAAAAATGTAAATCATGTAAATATAAAAATAAGAGGCCATAAGTTGGCTTCTTTGGTCTCTGGCTTTGTTATATCCTAACTTTTGGCTTGAGAATATGATACAGGCAAACTTCTCGACTATGAGAATCAAGTACATTTACCCATCTGGATTGGAGACCGTCTTTAAGGCCCAGCCCAACATCCTAGAATGTAGTCTTTTCTTTTTGATGCTCTAGGACTCAACTGTACAACATCTAGGACCTCACCAGGCTGTAAACCCTTTCTGGACAAAGATAAGGCAAATGCATTCATTATTGCATATATATGTGTGTGTGTGTGTGTGTGTGTGTGTGTGTGTGTGTGTGTGTGTATTCATTATTGCATATAACTGTTCTATTATTAAGAACAGTTGAAGAGTTCAATATATACTTGTTTCCTTGTACTGCTACTTAATGCCACATTTGGGTCTCTCAAACCTTGGCTCTATAGTATGCCATTTGGTTTCCAACAGCCTGAGAAAAAGCTTATGTGCTTAGATTTAAATAGGAAGTATAAGCCCAAGGCAGCAAGAGTAAGGAGGAAAGAGAAGTGAGGCGGGGAGAAATGGAATGACAATACAGGACAGTGTATTACCAAGTTAATGAGAGCTTCAAAGAATACAGCTAGTTACTCTTTGTATTCCAGATGTGCCTAGAGAAAGAATCACACCTCAGGAAGAAACAAAGGATTATATTACCCCACCATTTTGGTAGCCACAGGGGGCGCCAGATTCCACACCCTGGAGCATAGTGGTTCATCTGAAACTAGAAATGATGGGAGGAGTCAAAGACTGGTTTGACCAAATGGGGCCTGCTGCAGTCCCACCACCACAGTGGACACATTGGAGACTGTGTCAAAACCTTACCCTCACTCCCAGGGGAGGCTAAGATAACCAGATGAGGTGATAGTGGCAGCTGGACTATTCAGTAAGCAAGTGGCCAAGACTCTGTGTCAGGGTGCGGATGGGGCAAGTGAATTTGGAGACACAGATAGTGAACTAAGTCCAGTACCCAGACTTAGGTACACCCTAGGCAATCTCTTGGCTTCTGAATCAAGTAACTGACTAAAGTGAACACTGAGAAAAAGTTGCTTCTACTACTCTTCAAGCCACCAGGGAAAACAGCAAGCCAACCAAAACCGGGACCTTAACTAGCAATTGAAGGGCAGTGAGTAGTAGTTCCCAAAACTTGGACCAGGGCCCCCAAACTTGGCACAGTTAGGAAAACCCATCCTGGGTCTGAAATCATTTTATCTGGGAACTAAAAAAATTGCTGCTGCCTTCATAGTCTCTATATGTAAGACAGGATGGTTAAGTTATAAACGTGGGCTCAGAAAGAGCCTATTCAGGTTTGAGTTCTGTTTCTGTGACCTTAGGCACATTACACACCTCTTTGAGATTCAGTTTTCTTCATCTCTAAGGTAGAGATAATGCTAGTACCTACCTGTTAACTAGAATTAAATTACAGAAGTGTTTAGCACAATACTTGGCATAGAGTTCAGCAAATAGTGGTATTACTCTTATTCTCACCCTTTCCTACCTCTATCTCCAGTGCCTCTTCCTACCATGACCTCCACCTCACTATGTTCTCCCTGCCATCCCTAGCCCCTGGCATTATTCTGCTGCTCCAGGAGCAGTGGGGTTGGACCTGGCCATACCTATTTCTCCCTGCTCTCCCCAGGGCTGTTCCCCCTGAGCCTGGGTCGTTCATCTCCCTGGTGACCTGAATCTGAACTAAGAGACAAATGTGGGGTGGCTGAGGCCAGGGTGGTAATGTGCTCCCTTATCTTCGTGCCCCTCACTGGGGCCTAGTTAATTTTCCCTTTGATTTTAATATAGATTTATTGAAAGTTTCAGTTATCAAAACAAACTGCAGCAGCAAATTGGTGTTCTTTGCAGGCCTACAAGTGCCTATAAAGCTGCCATGCTCGGGAACGAATGGCGCTCTCCGGGAGGTCAGTCATGGCAACAGAAAGTCCCTGGGGACACACACACTGCAGTTTAATATTTTTCTTATTAGCCTTTTTCTTCTTGGCTATCTAAGCCTTCCCTTTAAATCGGAAATCAAATGGAGCCACCTGCCCAGGGAGGCTGTCTTCCCCAAGCTATTCCGCTTTCCATCTACCCTCTGTCATCTCTCTAGTCCTAGTCTCCTTGTCTCAGATCCTCTGGCTTCACCCTGCTTTGCCTGTTGTCCCAGAGAGAATTGTGATTCACATGCCCCACAGATGTATAACGCCTGCCTGGGCTACCCTGCCACTAGTCAGAGGCAAAGCATCCCTAGAAAAAATTGAGGTCCCCAGCTTCTTCCAGGCCTGGTGCCCAGAAGAAAAGTAAAAGCCAAATTAATAGCAAAGGAGTTGCTTTCAAAAAGACATGCAGTCCTGTCAGGATCCATTGGACTCAAAAACAGGAGATGATGATCCTGGAGAGTGGGCAAGTTCTACTGGCCCAAGAATTGTGTGATTTCACTCTCATATCCTCACTGCCACTTCCAATGTGGCCTCTTCTCTCAATCCCAGTTTGTCTTCAATCTGTCCCTCTAAGGACATGCTGGTTTCCTAACTTCAGTGTCCCATTGGCTCCAATATCTAGAACCACCCACGGCCACTTCTAGACTCTGGAATCCATTCTATTCCAGGGGAGGGTCTCCATGGCCTGGTTACTTAGGAGGCCACCATCATCTCTACCTGGTCAGAGGTGATGTTAGGTCACTATGCCACTTTCCAAATCCTGGTGGCCTTTTATTGCTCTTAAACATGTTGTATCAGCAGCAAGGGCTACTGCCCTTCCTCAAAACTATGATTGAAGGCTCTGACAACTGTATCTGCAGCTAGAATGATAGTGCTGAGGTCTCGACCAAGTGTGCTGGCTGACACTTACAGACTCGGTGATTTGGGGAAATTTGTGGTTTCACTGCATCTTGTGCTTGCATCTACTCTCATCTAAACACAAGTCTGTAATGAAATGATTTGCCTCTAAGTCTCTCTCCTGGGATATTCTGAGATCCTCAAGAAAAAGAACTGTCTTATCACCTTCTTATTCCTTGTGCATATATTTGATGAATAAATGAACGCTCCTTCTCTAGGCCTGCTTCTCCAACTATACAGTAGAGATAACACTTGCATCACCAATATAATGAAGAAAGCACCTCTCACGTGCCCACCCAGTATAATGTAGGTATTTGGTGAGTGAAGTGCCCTTCATCAATTTTCCCTTGAGGTTGGGTCATTAGTCACCTGCACT